TTTTTTCTCTTTTCTGGAAAAAATCTCCAATCGGGGCTGGAAAAGCTCTTACATCGCCGCCCGCCAGCTTTGCTGAGTGGTTTTATTTTTTCTCCCTTTGGGTGAATTTTGCTGTGATATCACCCATAATTTCATTTAATTAATCACTCATTTGGCAACAGTGAAGGATTTGGCCCGTTATATTTGACTTTTGGTGAATTTTCTGTAGGATTTACGTCCTCCCCGTAACCTTTTAACGGCGACAACAGGGTGGATTTTCCCCCCAGGAAGATCCTAATCAGGGTAAATCCGTTGACACCCCAAGAGCTGATTTTTCTCCTATTTGCACTTTTTTTGAGGGCAATTCCTTCGGGACTGGGGCGTGAATTTAGTCGGTGTCTGATCTACAACAGTGTAATTCCCGCTGGAAATCTGAAACATGAGAAAGCTGGTGTTGAGATGGAGCAGAACCAGGAGCCACTCAAAAAGACAATTTGAATTTTTTTCCTTAATTTACACCCAAAGGCAAAACGGGTGCCAGAAAAGAGCAAAAACACCAAAAAAAAAAAAAAAAATCTCCCAACAGCCGTTAAACTTCACCGCGGGGCTGAGTCCGAGGACTTACTGCTGGCTTGATTCTCGGAGTAGTTTGACCTCAAGAGCTTCAACTCCGCCATGATTTCCATCTCTGAAATGAAAATGAAATTAAAACCATGGCTGGATCACAGTGAGGAATCACCAGCGGCGTCTAAATTTGCCCAATTTATGGCTTTTTTTTGGGCTGAGTGGGGAATTCCAGAGTGGATTTACTCTGGATTTACACCCTGTAGTAAGTGGGGAGTGCTGCTGGTGCTGGCAGAAGGAGGCAGCACACAGATGTAGTGCGCTGGGGGGCGATTTGGCGATAAAACCCCTAAAATTCACGCACCAAGGTGGAATTAAAACCAAATCGTGATGACAGACGGGCTTCAGCTGCCGTTTCCACATGGACGGACACTCGAAGCATCGCAGGAACACGCCACGTGTTATTGTTAACAGTGAAAATGCGCTTTTGGGAGTGTTTTAACCAAATCAGCCGATTCCCAGCCCGGCGAGGACATTTCTGGGGACACTTACGCTTCAGCATGGCGAGCGTGAAGAGCAGCACCCACGCGATGAAGCTCAGCGTGACCAGGACGTAGAGAACGGCCACCGACATCA